CGGGGGCCAGGCAGGACCGCATCTGCGGGAGCATCTGCGTCCAGCGCCGTCCTCCCGCCCTCACTCAGAAAGGGGGTGTCTTCTCCAAAAGAGCGGTCCCAGCCCCAAAACCAGCCCGTGGCGTGCAGGTCGGGTGCTCCTGGGGCAGACAGCAAAGCCCAGCCGGGCTAAAGCCGGTCTTACACAGCCTGGAGGCTTTAGCAGTGCGGAGCACCGAGCTGTCATGCTGCAGGATTTCCAAAAGCCCAGCAAAAACCTTCTTTTTAGCAGCTCGGAGGGTGCACGGGTGAGTCTTGCCCTGGCGCAGGGCTTGGCAGGAGCCAGGGCTGCAAAGCCTGGCCCAGGGCTCGCTGGCCCCTGCCTGGCCCGGAGGGCTGCTGCCCTCTAGTGCTGGCTGCACCCCCAGGGCTGGGTGCCGGGTGCCATCCTGCCCGCTATGAACCAAAATTAGCCTTGTCCCTTCCACTTTGTAAAGCGCCCGTCTTTTCCCGGTCTAACCGCCTTTCTTCCACCTCAACTGTATCTTCCGTACGTTCGTGGCCAAAGGGCCACCAGGATGCAGCTCATGGCCTACCGCCAAAGAAGTATCATCTTATCAAGCCCTGACTGCTGCAATTTGCCCAGGAATTACTAGAAAGAAACCTCTCAATAGCCTTAAGGGCGCTGGGAGCTTGCTGCTGTTTGCAAAGTCCTAACAAGCCCTGAAGAAGTGCGAAATAACTGAGGATTTGAACAAAATCAAGCCCAGATCCGTCTCTGTGCACAAATCCACCTTCAGTCAGTGTAATACACCAGTGCTCACCCGCTTCGCTAGCTCGCTTGGGGCAAAAAACCCCCGAAACACGAGACCTTTCGACGCCAGCAGCAGCCCGCGTGCGACGCGTCCTCCCTCGCGGGCAGCGCTTCTCCGCGCGGACAGAAGGACACTGTCCCTTAAGGCAGGACAAAAAAAAGCAGTGCTAGCATTTGTGTTTTGATTTAAACTTGGTTTAGGAGCCTAATTTTGTTGCCCAGCATTTGGGAAGAGAGATACCTCCTTAGAAACTGCCCGCACCAGGAGCGAGACCGCACGTTTTGCGGCGCAATGCTCCCTTTCTCTGCTTGTCTTTTCACCTGGGAGAACTGAGCATCGAGAACAGACTCTTGCCCCAAGCAACAGGCAAATTGCGAGCTTTTTCCTTCATTAATGGTGCTCTGAACCGCAACTCATTTCCCGACATCTGAACCCATGCAGCTAGTGAGAAGTAACTGAGGACTGTAGAAACTTATTAAAAGTAACTGTCAAAAATCAACTAACACTGAAGGAGTCGTTATACCCGTTCACCCACTTCACCTTCGTGCTCTTGCTACTTATATTCAGGTCGCCGTTCATCCTTTCGCTCTTTAGCTAGGAAGCAAAGGAGAGAAGAGTTTCAAGTATATAAAAATAACTGTAATATTTTATTCCAAGAAGAAAAAAGGTCTTACAAAAACATGCATACAATACATAAGGGAATTTGGTGTTGGATATAACAACCTCGTAGCTGCAGGATCTACTAAAAATCCACAGAAAAAAGGAGTTACGTACACAAGCAGGCAGAACGAGCGCTGAAACAAAAAAAATCGGCTGGACGCTGCTTGCAGGTACGCGAGCTCGGCGCCTACTCGAGCGCGTCGTGGCAGGACCCTATTTTAGCCCAGGCTACAGGATTTCTGTAGATATTTCTCATCCCTGCAGAGCCTCCGTCTGCGTAACAAAATCACGTCAAGGTTATTTTCATGCAGGTTCTTCCTTCCGCTGGTCTTCGGCTAGCAAAGGCCGCTGCCATTAAAAATTAGCCCCTCTTTGGTATCTTACAGGGATTCAAAGTAGGCTCACGTGCCACAGGAAAATACCTTTCCCCATGCTAAGTGGTCGGTATAAAAGCCCCAGGACTAATTAAAGTTCCTCATTAGCCCACATCAGCTCAGTGTATCACCTGTGGGTCACGTCAAGGAGCTAAGCAAGCCCTTAGGAAACTGCAGAGAGCCAAAATGTATTTCTCTTTCTTTCCCACAAGACAAAGCAGGACCCGAGCCTCAGCTGTGAAGGTGTGCGGCCGGGCCTAACACAGAAGTCCCCTGAAACGACTAAGCTGGGTCTGTGCTGTGCATTACACTTAGCACGGTGGAGAAAGTGTTAAGCTGAGCCTACAAAATCTGGAATCTGCAATGTAAAAGTGCAGTTGTTTTTAGTGTACCTATTTGTGACACCTTTTCCACGTGACTTCACAAGAAATGAAGAGTAAGTGAGATCGCAGGTGCAAGACGTTACCCTGCTCAAGATGGGCATCTCGAGAAGTAACATGTTAGATTTGAAGGCAGAGCAGGGCAGGACTGAAGCCTGCACTATACTGGCAGGAAAACCATTAAAACTAAACAGTGCACAGCAAAGACTACCTTCCATGTGAACAGGAGATATTGCTGCTTCTTTTTTCTTTCCTTTGCTGTTCAGGAAGTTCCAGACCCACAATTAACTAAAAGTTTTGAAAATACCTTCCTTTACGTTGTACCTGCTCCCCGCAGCACTTACTCCTAGCAGAGCTGACACAACAGGCTTTAGAGAAACACCACACAGGAACCACTATAGGAAAAAGCACATCCTCTTAATTCGCAGTTATTTTCCGCTTCGGGCCCCAAAAGACAGGCCTGTATCACGCAACAAACCCAGCTGGCTGCAGAGCACCTTGTGGGGACTCGGGCTGCCGCGAGAGGCAGCCAGCCAGATGCCGTTTGCTGCTGGTCCCCCTCCACCGAGCGTTATTTCGGCTAGGCAGACTCCGCAGCCCTACGCCAATACGCCGGCACGGCTATTCAACGCTTTGGCTGCTACTCATCACAACGCGTATCAAGATCAAAGCGGGGACGATCTAAAGCGTATCCGAAAAGAAACTGCGACTTTAAATAGTTTGCCTGATTCAGGATCGAGGTCATTTAGCTGATGCTCAGGGATCAACCCCAGCAAGGGTAAACGGAAGGCAAGCGAGCTAGGATGCGCACCTGTATTTCGCAAAAGACTGCCTTCATCCAGCTCGCGGAGGACGGCCGTCTGCACCCAGCCGAGTTACTTAGCTGAGAAGTACCGTATCGCCGAGAGCTCTTTGAAACAGTAACAACCTCCCTTTAACTTGCATCATCGGGGGAAGATGCAGATGGCTCCTCAAAAAAGCAGCTTTTTTCACGCTCCTCGACTGGAGCGCAGTTATACCGAACTAACTAATGCTAGTAGCACAGAAAACGGAACCTTTATACCCTTCTCGCTAAAGATGCTGATCATTTGATAACCAAAGATCCAAGTCTAGGAAGAATTTCTAAAAAGAACACGGGAAGGGAGAGAAGGAAGGAAGGAAGATCAGTTTACAAGCCACATGCACGCGCCAATTTTTTTTTGTTTTAAACTACTGTTCCATTATCAGCGCCTCTGTTTTGAGAGAGCATTTATTCAGCATGCACTAAACGATTTCCAAATTCACAACTTGAGAGTGCAGTACCTTTAGGAGTCCCAAGCTGCAGCAACCCAGTTTACAGGCTGTATACAGGACTGCATGCACAAAGAAAAGAGAGAAGAGTACAGCACGTACTAAATAGGCTGTGTACACGTGTACAACACGTACAAAATAGGCTTCCCCCAGAAATTAGATTCTTTTAGCGGCTTAAAAAAAATCTGTAAAGTGGAACATTACGGAGAAGATCCCAAGTGTACGATTGAAAGGAAGAGAAATCTCTTTGGTATAGCTATATACAAACAGCTGTTAGAACAGAGGAAAGAAAAAAAAAAAAACAACAACAACTATGTTATCTTCCAATTTGCTTTTAGCGGATTTCAAGGTCGCAGGTGGATACACACTCCTAACACTACGCTAGCATTACGACATCTCCTAAAGGGGATTGTGGCGAGCATAAAAGGGTTATAGGCTGAAAACAGAATCGACCTAAGCAGATTTAGAGTAAGCAAGCCACGGGATTTATGCCTTACCTTTTGTCTCTAATAATCTGTATACATAGATAAGAAACAGTGCTAACAGAAAATAAGCCTTACTGATAGCACAACGGTGTTTGACAGGCCACGGTCAGGACGGTTCAGAAGGGACAGAAGCAGTCCTTATCATTTTTACATGCTGAGGCTGCGCTGATGCTCTTGCTCCTTTACGGACGGTTTACGGCATAATGCAAATGGGATGTCTTTCGTTCCCAGAACATAAGACAGTGCCGCTGGAGTCTATGAAATATGAACTAGGTAGACGTTCAGCACTCAAAAGAAAAAAAAAGAAAGAGTGCAAGGCTCCTGTTAAGTTACCACCATTAAACATATGGAGAAGACTACATAAAAAGGGCTGTTTGATATAAGTAACTGAATGCCCTACAGACGTTCCAAATACAACCACCACATTCAGTCGACGTATTTGCACGTATACGCCTTCGGAACAAACCTACGCTGCAACTGAAAATTAGTTTCAACTGTTTACAAAGAGAAGCACAAGAGTCCTTTCCTTTTCTGTCCTGATTAGGTCACGCACGATTTGCTTATCGGTCACTGAACGAAAGCTTTAAAAAAAAAAGCTATATAAACGTGCGCGTTGCGACCCAGGAAGTGCCCCTGCTTCGTAGATCCAACGTACAGAATCCCTATGGAGTCAGGCTGAATCCAGGAGTTCCAGAAGAGCACCAACCGCACCAAAATAACCCTGAAAAGCAAAGAGACGGGAATACCTATTAACCACTCAAATGTGGGGATGCACCTGAAACAAGAATAAGAGTATTGCGCATGCAATATAATTTTTGAAACTGCTCTAATAGATGGTGGCAAGAAACAGCTATTTCTAGGCACGTTAAAAAAAATAAACAAAGATTCCAATTGTAGTCGCTACACAGGAAAGCGGAGTTACACAGCTCCTCTATGCTCTCAATAACATAGGTAACAGTCTTCAAAAACAGAAGTTCACAAGCAAGCATGAGCTTGGAAGTTAACGATTCCCATATTACTTACAGCAACAATCCATATCTTTTTAGTGACCTCACACCAGACATCGAAATAACTATGGCCATGATAAAACATTTTGAGCCCCCTGCACAACGGATATTATCAACAGCAAAAAAACTCAACATTGCTATTTTCAGAGCATTCGAAGTATTTGAATTTTGACAAGAAGAAAATAAATTTAAATAGTAACTTCACCTCATGTTCCAAGAAAAGTGCTTTTAACTGTCCCTTTGACCAGTAGTCTAAAGCATATGCCAGAAGCCTCATTGAGATTGTATTGATCCGAAGGAAATTGCCAACAAAAACCACTCGATTTATGTTCTGTAATTGTTAAGAAAAAAAAAAAATCAAAATATGAATTTGATTTTCTGCTTACAGCTATGAAAATCCCACCTTGGAGTAAGAAGAAAAAAAATTATAGTTGTAGTGCCTTTTAAAAATGCCATATGCAGTTTTTCAAATGCATCTTCCAGATTGAGACTTGATAAAAAGAAGAACCGGCTGAGAGCAGAGTGAAATCATCACTCTACGTTAAAGCAATTATAACCAGAGAAACTTTGCATCGCCCCTAATACCTGTTCCTGGCAGCTAGGAACATGACTGTCTTAATGAGGGGGGTGGAGTAGCAGAGAGAAGAGTTATGACGCGTTTGCAGCTTTCTAGATTTATAATTTTAAAATTGTACCCAAAGGAGCCAATCTGCAAGCAAGAGATGACACCAAGTCAACCTGGGGTCTTGCAGCGGCAGGAGACGTTTCAAAAGAGCACGGCAAGCTCAAAAAAGGGCACGTTTTGATGCTCAGAAGGGGCCCTGGAAAGGGCCGGAGACTGTGCTGAAAGCGTCAAGCAGGATCTGCAGAACACGAACAACATGTACAACGCTGCTGAAAGGCAGTGCCAGCCAAGCAGTTTTAAAACAGGTTCTTTTTCAGACTCTTCTGCGCTGCGCAGAAAACCACAGCTGTAACTACAGCTTTTCTAGCTCAGGAGCATAAATAGGACTGTTGGTTTCTTTGGCATCAGGTCCTTAAACCGGCTGCAAACGCTGCTCATGAAGTGCCACCTTCTCTCTCCCCGCCCCAGCTCTGACCTTTGACTTGTCATAAAAGAGCTGAACAGATCTTCACCACTACCCTGAAAAAAAAAATATCCAGAAACCCATATCCAGTACAATTCTGACAGAAAGGCAAAGACCACCCAGGCAGTGTATATCTGGGATTTAAATGAGATTTTTAGCCAAATCTTTCACTCACAAAATAGGAGCCAAATATGAACTCGGAAGCTTTCTCCTTCTCCAGCCAGGAAATAATTTTCAGTTCCTCCTCTTACTGAGGTATCTGAACCAAGTACTAACTCCTCCTTTACTCACATCCTTCTGCAGATTTTTCTTCCATCCCCAAATTCATTAACACTTAGGCCAACCATTCAGCAGCATCTTTGCCCTAGATTACGTATCGATCGAGTGAGGAACCAGCAGACTGCAAGCAGGACAATTTACAGCACGTCTTGTATGGTTTTAACAGTAAACGAAGGTAAATAGTAAGTGTTTGCCAACAAGAGCAAGAGTCAGGAGCATGCTTCGCCCTGTTAGCTCATCCTAAAGGAGCAGGCTCAAAACAACGTGAAGAACATGCCTCTGTGCTTTCATAGCCCTGTACAATGCTGCTTGACATGAACGCAACAAGGCAGCACTGTAAAGAAGCTGAAAGCACAAAGATACAGCAAAGGCCACGGAAGTGGTGGTGCTCGACCAAGAAAACAAGAGCAACTACTACAGCCCACACAGGACAGGTATCTGGTCTCTGCTCCCCCCTCCACCCCACCCTCACTTCTTCTCAGCACTAAAGCATTCAGATCAAGCACGTCACTTAGAAGATACCACAAAATTGTGGTGGAGAAAGGACAGGATATGGCTTACCACCTTCTCCCAGTGGTCCCAAGAGTTTCAGTTTATTGCACACCTACAGTTCCTCAAACCACCTCAGAAAAGCTGCTGAAGTTCTCACAAATAAGAGGACCTGACGAGACTAACAGCCAACCCCTACTTCAGCATTTATTCGCAGTTCCTCTTTAGTCTGCAGCGTAACGATCTGGTTCAAACTACAGATAAGTAAGGACAAAGTTCACCAAACAGTTCAAAACGAGTGAAGTAGAGCTTACTGAATATCCAAAGAGGCACCTAGGAACACGCACCTTCAGAAGCGTACGCGGGGGAAAAGAGACACTGCACGGCAGCAGCGCAAGCAAAGGGGACGCTTCAGACAGGAAGAAACGAAATGGGTTCTCCGTTAATACCTCATTAAGCGCACACATCCGTGCTATGGAGCCAATGTTATTGGTGATGGTTACTAAAGTAGCCCTTGCGAGGTCCTCTTTGCTGACGGATTCCCGCTTCTCCTTGCTCATCATGTTTCCAAAACTGTAAAGAAAATTTTAGGGTTAAAGGTCCATTTACCTCAGTATTCCAAGGGAATTACTAATTTAAACATTGACAGTTAGAAACAAATACTTCACAAAAACAGTGCTATCAGTCATTTCCATCTGGTAAAACAGAATAGTAGAAAGAAAGGTAGCTCTCCTAAGACTTGTAAATCCAGTTTGTCATCCTTGCAAAACATACCTCCTGTGAAGAAACCCAGTAAAATCATTACCTGGATGCTACAGCCCAGCCTGGCAATCCAAACCGCTCATAATCTCCTCCGTAGATGTCCCGCACTAGTTTATCCACTTTAGTGCTATCTCCATGGGATGCCATTTCCAGGGCCTCTTCAAAGGTGGAGCAACCCGTGAGAAGACAGCAGAGACCAAAAAAGGTTCCCCCTCCAAGACTGCAACATAAAGCAAAAGGAAAGTCATCTACCTTGCTTCTAAAAGGACGCAGAAAAAATGGCTTGCTCCACTGACAGCTAAGATTACTAGTTTGAGTGGGGTCAGTTTGTCCCTTTTCTTCAGCCTGTTCTTTTCCGTGATGATAATCTTGAAAGAACAGCAGTTCTCTTTAAAGCTATTACTTTCAAGTAACCTACAGCCCGTAAGGAATCCCACGCCTTCACAGCCGTCTACAGAAGGCATGTTTCTAAATGAGAAATTAATGTCCTTATTTTACAATATTCACCTTCTCCAGAGCACTGAACAGAGAACTTGGTCTTAAAATAAATACTAGTCCTGAGCAGTCACTGGAGTACAAGCGCACAGCTGCTTAAAACTTAGGAAAAACTATGCCCTGTTCACTGCGCTGTGCACATATGCCTTTAATGATACATGATAAGAGTAAAATCTGTGCTGTGCACCCCTTCTTTGTGATTTTCATTATTATTACTATTATTAACTTCAAGCAATTCAGGAAAGCTTAAGTCCACATAGCTCTTTGGCTTTGCTAGGCAACAGGTGTCACATCTTCAAGTACGGTAAAAGCAGCAGTCCAGTAACCAAGCAGGGAATTATTGCTCTTCGAGCATCCCATACTCCAAAACAGGGTGCTTTTCAGAAGTCAAGATTCAAATCTCTACTGCTAGGACTGAAGATAATCGTTCTTAACGTTATGAGCATATTGGGGTTAATCTCAAAACATGCATTATCTGATGGCAAATAGTTTAATTCCTGCAGTATGGTAACTTGCAGCTCGTCCCCAAAAAGGTCGTATACAACTCACCTGCAGAAACACGTTCCAAACTCTAAAATAAAACTCAGTTTACCCCTTTACAGTGCTTACCTGGTGCCCGTTACCCGCTTATAGTTTTCTTTTGAATACACAGCCAAAATGCTGACCCCTGAGCCAATGTTCACCAAAAGGAGAGGATATGGATTCTCCAAGTTGAACGGGAGCTTCTGACATCTTTCAGCATCAGTTGGGTTTTCAAAATAGTAGCATTCTGAATGTCCGTTGAATCCAACTGAATCAATGTACAAAACTCCTTTAATAAGGCAGTCAAGTTCATCTAGCTTGCAAAGCTGAAGGTCACCCATCTAGAGGGGGAAAAAAAAAAAAAACAGGGAAAAAAAAAATCAAGAAGTAGCTAGAGATCCAAAGCGTGCCTGCTCAGGGCTAGAAAAATGCATACGCTGCCAGCTAAATTCAGCTACCTCCATTATTGCCTGTGGTGGGAAAGGAGCACAGATCACGGGAGGGCTCCATCTTTCCCAACGCACACGCACTGCTAACTATCCTGGCCTTAAAGTGTGCGCATGTGAAAGAGGGAGAAAAGCAACTTGATCCACAGATGGAAGCCAAGAGAATCCCACCAACTTCCAAGGGCCTGGAGCAAGCCCAGGCTATGAAGCACTACCAAGGAAAGCAAGGAAAAAGGAGAAGGGGAGAAAACACAAAGGAACCAGGAGGAAATTATATGATCATTTTCCCCTCAGGTCACTGCCCGGAGTGCACAGGCTTCCTCAGCATGTATTTGGTACATTTTTCAAGCCCTGGTTAAACAACATATTTATCAAATATGTATTTCACCTATAAACGTGAATCTAACTTATAATGAAGCCACATGATGATGTCACATGCCAACCATTATCTTCCTTACAGTTAATTCACCACCTAATTCAACTGAATCTCAGTCAACTCACTACCACGCATGCTTGAAACGAAACCTCACGAACAGAGGAGCAACAAAGCAAATATTAAGATGTGAACAGAGAGCAACAAGGAAAAAAAATAAACAGTGCAGATCAACACAGATGGAGACTAACAATGCAGGGTAAGTCTGGCAAGAGCGCAGGCCATGCAAGTTAAGAGTGAATAATTTTAGAGTTACAGGAAAGTTGCATGCACTTTTAGGAAAGCAAGTATCTTAATTTACAGAGACGTGAACTCAACTCCACGTGCCGTTTCCCGCACTAAGTTTGAGTTAGAATAGGTAGGTGTTTCCCAAGCTAAGATTTAGAGAAGCTTAGAGTCTGCAGGGAAAGGCTGAAGGTGTTTCTAGTTTTAAGCTTATACAAGGGTTCACTACCAGATCCTAATTGTATATAAGCCAAAAATGCATACTGTGCGAAAGTCCTGCTCAAATTTGTATGCTCCACCTCCCGTGGCACATAAGGTAGTATGGAGGCTTGAGAAGTGTTTTTCGCTGCCCATTTGAATAAAAGCAGGCATGTCATGAGTAGGAAAGCGTATAAAGTGCAGATTGCCTTTACGTCCACACAGGGTAAGGTCCTTTAGTTCAAGGTGCACATCCCGAATGCCTGTAGATCCATAGGCTACATTTGATGTCAGGTATTTTCGGATACTTTTGAGATTTTCCACTTCTTCCTCCTCCTCTTCAGCAGTGATGTCCTTTGGTTCAAAATACACAAGTTTGACCAAGGTCCCTCCAATGTCCAAGCCAAACCAAGGAAAGACTAAAGAGAGAGGGGAGAAAAAAAAGAAAGAAAAAGAAATAGGATATGATATTGCCAGCCCATCAGCAAGATAGTTATAAACTGAATTAACCCATGCAATTCTCTAGGGACTCAAAGATGCGGGCCCATTGGATCCATACGTTTCTGAAGTGCAAAACGAGGGAACATTTTAGCAGTCTGGTCTTTCTTTCAGTAATAACAGCTGAGTTTGTCAAAGTCCTCTCTACACCGAAGTACCATAGCTCCAAATAAATGAACCTAACTCCCATTTCTAGAGACACCTCGCGTTCAGGAGCTCCGAACATGATATGCAGTACTCAAAAATACCGACAGCAACAACAGAAAGTACCACTGAACATATACATAGCACAGGCCTTACACTATCCGTCCACTAGCTAGCTACTGCTGCAGTTTTAATCCCTAGCTATTTTATCAAGTTCTGATCCAGAGCCAGAGCCAAGGATAATGCCAGTGCTTTCACATCAAAGCGATGTACAAACGTTAACTAATTACAACACGTAACACTGAGGTAGACGAGTAATCTAAGATACCCCAGGGAGACAAAAACAAATGTTTAATTGGATTATTTTATTAGCCAAATTCCCCCATGGTACAAAATATGCATTAGTGTCAGGCCCAGCAACATTTACAGCTGTATTAGATAAATGAGCTTCTTGGAAAAGATCAAGAGAAAAACCTGATCAGATGGAATCTGCGATTAGAGCTGCGACCTGGAACAGATTAATATTACTATTAATGAGCTCAAGGACAGGCTAGAGCTGACAAGATACCACGGGCTCCGGAGCAACATAGCCACGTGCCATGGCTTATGGCAGCAGGGTTAAAATCTTAAGTTTTCTGCTTTCACAAAAAGGAAGTTTTAGAAAATAAATCGCAACAGTGAGAGCGTGTTCCTTGTCGCTTCTGCCTTGGCGGCGGCCGAGCTGCTCGCAGAGGCCCTGCCGCGCAAGCTGCAGAAACACGAAGCAGTCGGGGAAGAGAGACCCAGCGGCAGCTCTTCAGGAAAATGAAGAGCAAGAAAACAACTCAGGGGTATGAGGGGGTTCTTGGAAAAGCCACAGATCCGGCCCGCAAACACACGTTTGGAGACAAAGGTATTCTCTCCTCGGTGGGTGAACTTGGTGGCTGAATACAGCACAGGTAACACAGACCTTTTAGAGCATCTCAGCTCTCCCGGAGCTCCTAGAGCCATCAGTTACCCCAGGTATTTTTTTTAAACACCACCGGGTTATTTTTATATGTTTACACAGAGACCACCCCCAACCGTCACCAAGAAATGAAAGAAGATGCAAGCTCTATTTTAGGAAGGGTGTTCAAATTCTAATCATCCTCCCTTTCTAATGCATTTAGTTCAAACAAGAACAGACATAAAAATAACAGTTCACACTGAATGAGGGAGATCTGAATCACCATCCCAGGGAGACGGAAAGCAAGAGCGATTCAAGGACTTTTTGCACGACCGTTTCTGATTTTGCGCTCCTTGGATGAACTACAGGATCGAGGCAGCTTGACATCGATGTTTCATTTGTTCTCGGTGATCAAAAGCAGAACAAAAATCTTGCATCGATCACCGGTTTATTAATCGCACTTTATTCGCAGCTTGAAAATTCCCGTCGCTATTTCGGGATGAAATGTCTCGCAAGCGCTTCACTGTCAGGAAAGTTGAGCATATGTATCTTATTTCAATACATTCCCCCTCGCCCCTTGCAAAGCCCTTTTTATAGGGCTTCACAAAAAATTAAATAGTTCAATTACTTATCTGGAAAGGAACGTCGGCTGCCTCGGTCTCACCCTGTAACACAAGGAGAACTATATCGCCGGGGACGCGAGGCCAGGAAAAACGCCCTCACAGAAAGCGCAGCCGAGGATCCCAGAGGACGAGCGAAGGGAAAGCCAGGAAGGACAGAAACTTTAAACCCCACGGTTGTTACTCTTTGCAAGTCTCAAGGCAAGCACATTGCTCTGCTTGTTTGAAAGACGGCTGCATGAGCTCATTTTTTCTGGAGTTGCCCTTACTTTATTTTTTGTAATGCATATGGAACACAAGCTTCAATAGGGACGTTTTCCTTCTCCTGCTCCTCTCGCCGTACCATCGCAGGGATTTCTAAACCCAAAAAGGGCCTTGTGGCGGGGGAGTTATGCAAGCGCAGCAGAGCTTCGTCCCCCTCTGTAGGTTTTGTTTTTTTTTTTTTTAAACTGTCTTCTGCTTTTGGATGGCGGGTTATCAAGGCAGCAAACCGCAAACCAAACCCACCGAGCGTCTGCTGGCTTCACTCACCTGCCCTTCCTGACACCCTAGACCAAACACACCATACTAAAGCCATTTGCAACACATCATATACATCCACAAACCATCTGTGAACTACACAGGTGCTCCTGTCCCCGCGTTAATGGCAGAACAGGGAATCCCACCCCCCGAAAGCACTTTGCCTTCGCGCACAGACGCAACACAGCAGGAGCTGGAATGAAAGCCCCAGATGCATCAACTACCTACCGCAAAAACACGCTTTGAATAGGCGCCATGCTCCGTAAAAGGCAGTAAAAATGCCATCTGATACACACAGGTAACCATACGGCACTGGCAGTCAAAGCAGAGCCTTCCGCTGCTGCTCGCAGGGGGCTGGCAGGCAAGAGCTTCTGCATGAAACCAAAAATTGATGCTTGACACGACTAGCAAGTTGCCACGTGTCTTAATTGAACATGTTCCATTTGTTCCCAATCCCCGCAGTGCCTGGAACCGGTAAACACCGCTCTATTTAAAAGCTCAATCCACGTATACGGTCACTAAAACCCATTTCTTCATATGCATTTTGCTTTTCAATACTGCTATACTGGCTGCTGGAAAACTAGCAAGTTGTACATAGCAAAGGGAACAAGAGCCTTGCCATGCTCCTTAGCCAAGCCTTCTCCCATCACAGTCATTCCCATCCGGGAATCCCTTTGCACAAATTTCCCACTCTCTTGAAAGCACTCAGCTGGTTTGTCACCTCTAATCTGATGAAGAGATTGCGTCCAGAAGCCCGCTGTCCTGATGCTAGGAAATCTTCTTTTGACTTCCGGAATATGTTCATCCTTCCCATGGTATACTTTTTTTTTTCCCCCCCCTCTGTATTATCACACCCACACGTTTGAGCAGCCCTGGCCCATGCCAGCTGCAGAGGAGCCCTGCAAAGAGGCAGCCCGGGTTTTCCGCCATCGCTGAACGCTTCATGGCTACCTTGGGAAAAGCACCTGGGACGCCGTCCAGAAAACAGCCTTTTAAGTTAACTGATATAAACCAAACAGTTCTTAGTTATGGATCTCTGTTACACATGCTGGTCAGAGGGAAAGAATCCATGGAAGAAGCGTTTTAGTTTAAAATTAAGTACTTCTTTACTGTACTGTAAAGGATTTTTTTTTTTTTTTTTAAATAGAGAGCAATTACAGTGCAACTTGGACCGAGCACGCAAGTAATTTGGTGCAGCATGGACAAAACTTCCTCTACATACCTATTTTTCGGGAAGTAAAAATCCTGAACAAGGGTGTGGCACCCAGACAAGAGGAGGCAGAGATACTGTTATTTCAACAACATGGAGAATTGGTCTTTCTCTTACACTTACAGAAAGTCAGTCAACATGAGCATGCAAGGCAGTAACAATTCTCCCGTATCTGCGGACTAGAAAAATCCACGCCTTCAAAGGGAGGAAGAAGGAAGCTCTCTTGGACGAACGCCATCACCATCTGCTACCGACTTTGCTCTTAAAACACTGATTTTTCCAGCATCTACTGTGCACTTGAAAGCTTTCCAAAGATCTTTCACTTGCAAGCCACTAAAGCATTTTTCAAGGGAGCTGCTGCAGAACACTGCAGGTCTAGACCAGCACGCGAACTGGTGGTATCCCAAAGCCCATGGGCAGCCCTGAGGTTGTGAGGTTGTTTTTTTTTTTTTTTTTCAAGTCAGGAAGCACTGCCAAAATAACCACTGCGAGAACAGGCTGGCTTTAACGGCCAGGACAGAAAACTAGAACACAGCCTCTCTTCAGCGCAGCCGAGAGAGCCCCTCGCTATAGCTTTGAGTCATCTGGGCTGGGAGAAAGCGCCATGCCCTGCTCTTTTTTCCAAGGACTTACCAGCCGGAGGACGGTGGGAAAGACGAAGAAAGCCTTACGCGGAGCACAGGAACCGGATCACGGGAAGAATCTCCTCTTACCCAGCACCTTGCGGGAAGTGGTGTGCCTCTCAGTTGGGTATTGGGACATTTAAAAAGAAAGGCAGGAAATCCTCTTCTCAGAGTGAGCACCGGTCTCCATTCAAAAATGCTCTGCGGTCTTTTCCTTCAAGAAACTCTATCAATTACTTTGTTTTCAGCACATTGACAATCGCTAACACCACTCTTCAAAAATAAATACACAAGGTAACGCAACGTAGCAAGTAGTGGGGGTGCAAACAAGGCGATGCGAGAAAGCGGCAAGCTCACATCGTCACTCAGCAAGTCGGGGACACAGCGCTGAGCTTCGTATTTTCATTTAGCTTCCCCAGTGCAATAAACTGGAACGGCAGCTGTAAAGAATTCTTAAAGCCATTGTCTTTAAGAGAAAACTTCTTCAACTTTTGGCTTGACAAAGTATTATTTCCCCTTAGCACGGATGCTTTTAAAAAGCAGCTCTATACATATGGTTTCACGAACACAGTTTAAGTACAGCTCTCAGGCTTAAAAACAAACTTTCTTCTAACGGACAGAACTATGGATACGCAACAACAAACAGACCGCCAGTCTGCAAACGAAGTTACGGATATTACAGCTATTACGAAATAAGATGAAAAGCTCAAGGATGCTATGTGTTCCCACAGTAAGAGCTGCCACCCTCCCTCTCTACCCTGCATCCTCAAATCCCTTTTAAAGTTAGACTGTAAGCTCTGTGGGGCAAGAAAAATATAATGCCTTTATTTGTTATGTAAATTGCTTTATAAACCTGGACTATATAAATAAAAAACCCAACAAGCTATTATTTCTTTCTACTTGGTTCAAATTTTGAAAGCTCCAGAAGTGTCAAGATGAAAGAGGTGATATAATTAAAGCTCTCCATGGTGGATTTCCTTCATATGACATGCAGCTCAAGTCGTATTTCAGACTGATCCTTAAGTTATGAGCCAATTATATTAGAAGCTAAAAAGATTAGCCTGCAGAGCAATGAAGACTGATGATTTAGTTGAGTGCATGACAGCACCTCTATGCTTACTGCAAAATATTCAACATATTTTAATAATGTTATACTACTATGGAAATTTTACAGCTGAAAAAAAAATATATTCATCAGCGTTTAATAAAAACTGACAGTAAGTCTACATATCCTCACATCTCTAAAAATGGGCCCTGCTAGGAATTCACATTTAGTATACAATTCCAAAACATGAAAAGGTATTTAAGTCAAAGCTTAAATTTTGGCCTGCAAAAAAGCTGCTGAAACAATATTTTATTTGTACCTCCATTTATACCCTGAGCATATGAACCCAGCTTTTCAAGCAATCCACGTATCATCTTTGCATGATTTTGATACAAGATACTAAAACTTTCGTAACTTTAAAAAAAAAAAAAGTTAGAAGGACTACATAAGGACTACATAACAGATGAGGAGGGTTTTTTTTTTTTTAAGGTATAGGCTTTCTTTTGGAACTTATGAATGCCCTACATGCTTTACGCAACTTAATTCCCCTCCCCTGTTGTCAAACAGTAAAATATTACAGATGGCACAAGGCAAAACCATCAAACCGACCTCCTTTTCCAGAGAACTAAGTCTACAGAAATTTCAGTCTACGAGTTACATAATTTGTAATTCGGGGAAACAACCTCAAGTCAGGGCAAACCAGGTTTTCAGGAAGGAGCAGAACCGTGGTGCAGCAGCACAGAAGAACGGGAGAGACGGGGAAAGGGAGGAAGGAAGGGGAGGGGTGTGGAAAGCTGATGAACTGGAAAAGAAGTGCCCAGATGGAGTCTACTCGCTGACCTATTTCTTTTATCCGAAAGAGGATTCATTACAAAAAATATTCCACAACTCACTGCGGTCTGGTCATCTTCTGTCTCGGGTTCTGCGCTTGGGAGGCAGCCAACCCTACCCATCACAAGCCATTTGGTATAGCTGTCCTGTAGCTCTGTTAAAGCAAACGTTAAGGCGACTGCCTTCGTTATTCATCTAGGGTATTTCTAGTCCAGTTTGCACGTGCAGAAGATTTCATTAAGGGCACTAGTAACTCATTACCAGAAAGGGACTCTTCTGTATTGTCTCTGGGGCTTCTTCTTCTACATCAGCACTTCTGTGCATACCAGTAACACTATCAAGCTCCTCTTCGCACCCTACCAACATAATGCGCCAGGGCAAATAGGACCTCTAACAAAATTGCCTCACAACTTTTCTGGGGAGAACAAGATGGATGGGACAACAACGTCCTTGACTTCTCCTCCTTTTATCCGCAGCAAACCACAAATCACAGCTTCTGTGATACAGATTTGTAAATTAAGTGCACCGAGAAGCATTTCACAGCCTGCATTTCACAGCCTGGGATGCACAACGGCATGCAACTCGGACATCATCTGTACCGCTCTAATCCAGATTATTTCCGATGCATGCAGTCGAATTCCCCTCAGCTCCAGACCATCCACGGCTCCTCTGCAGCGAAACCGTCCTAGTTGCACCTTATCGGTTTACGCAGACTACGAGGCAGGAAGAAAGATCACGAGCTTGAACTACAGCCCGTTGAAATCCTTTCGTTCCTGGGGAAGTCGGGCTCATCTGCCAGGGCATCTGCCAGTACATGCAGGCAAGAGAAGCCTCAAGGTCATAAAGCTTGTCTGTCACATACCGGCAGCAGACAAATGGCAGCTAAAGTAGGACATTTTTGATCATATGCCCATTAAGCGGTTTGCATTCATTTGCATTTGCTTGCAACCTTCCTTAAGGTGGGATCGAGCATTTTAACTTCCCAATATAATTTACCCTTCTATCGGGCACGTTCCCCCTGTTAAGGGGTGTGTAAGCACATTTCTCTTTTGCTGACCACAAACATCGTTTAGGAAAGACCGGCTCATCTCGTAATCCAAAATCACGCTGCACTGACCTTCCAAACAGCATCCAAATCTTGTCATGAAAACTGCCAGAACACCTATATTTTTTTTAAAAAGGTAGCCTACTCCAGTCTCTGCATTACATTTAACGTTCCTGCAACAAATCAGCATCTCAATTTCTACGGGGAATTAAGATTAAGGTCACAGAAATCGCTCACGAGCAAAGCAGAGAAGTACGTTCAGCTAAAGTACAGCTTCATCTAAGTCCGCCCTAATTTTCATACCAGAGATCTCCTTCGTTTTCCTACAGCTGGTCGCAGTCCGTTACCTACCGTTTCTCCAATTAGCAACCCTGCAGCTGCCACGTCTATCTTTTGCTGCTATTTCCTCAGAACGACAGCCACGCGAGCGGCTTTTCACATACCCATACCGAGACGGTTTCTCCACGTTTAAATTGCAACGATGATCACCACTCCTACCGTCGTTACGCCCCTCTCCTAATCTTCTCTTTCATCCCTATTAGTTCTGCAGTAAACAGAAAATCCTGTAATTATCTTCGTTATTTAACATTAACTTTACAAGTCGCGTCCTTGCACAGGATCGCTGCTGTGATAAGCCAGCACAGTCTGGAAGACAGAGGCAAAGCGAACCGCCGACAACGGCCACGCTTGATGCTACGTTAGCGTTACTGAGCCGCGCTTGCTAGTAATTAGCAACGCAAGCAGCATCCAGTGCAGCAAGTCTTTTGATATATAACTCTTAATTTTTCCCACAACAGCAAAAAAGAGATTCTTTTCGCCAGCAACCAAAAAAGCTCCTTAGCATTAAAGAGAAAGAATACGTCTGAAAATCTGCGTTAGTAGCGTAACAATAACGTCCCGGCATCGCTACCAACAATTGCTACGAGACGCGTGATTAATCTCGAGTCCTGCTCTCGGACTGGGCTACGCCGGACCGCGGCTCGTTTGCTGAAGTCATTTGAACGTGCGGGTAGCAGCGAACGACGCTGAGGCTGTTTGCTTCATTTTTTAATGGCACAGCAATTTCTTTCCAGGGAGAAACAACTCCAGCGCAAGTAAACAAATAACCACTTGGCTCCACTTCAAATATGGCCGAAGTCAGTCACCAGTCGCGGCAGCTCCGGCCTGCTACCAAAATGAAGGCTGCCATCCATTTTGCACCTACCTCGTTCCATGCACCATTTCCAACACAGTATTAAAAATGCATGGTTCAGGGGATTTTTTTTTTTTTTCCTCTCCTCCTCATTACGCAGCCTTGTTCGGTCTGTGCCCACTCCCTGCCAAACCCACACAGTTCTCCCCTCCCCAAAACACGTCCCGTTCGCTTTCTTCTCGGTTTCTTTTTTTTTGTTTCGTTAACTACCATGTCGGCCAAGCAGCCTTCCCAGCCGCCTGGCGCCAAGGCTACCTTCTGACCCTCGCTCTGATACATCTCCTTTTCCTGGTCCTCTGGTGCCCTCAGCAGTGACCTTCCTGCCCTTCCCCTCCTGGCCAAGGATGCCCACCCACCTGCCCCCCGGGGCCCCTCCCCGTCCACCCCGGCGCTCTCCTGCCCCAGCAAACCAGGTGCCACCTCGCCCTGAACCTCCCTG